GTGTGGTCTCGGGCATCATGCGACCGAGGAGCACGACGCAGGCGGGCAGACCGCGCAGGCGTGGTCTCGGGCACCATGCGGCCGAGGATCACGACACGGACGGGCAGGCCGCGCCGAGGTGGGTCTCGGCAGTGTATGGCCGAGGGGCTCGGCGCAGGCAAGCTGCGACCGAGGGACACCGCACAGGTGGGCAGGCCGCGCTGAGGTGAACTCGGCAGCGTATGGCAGAGAAGCTCGGCGCAGGCAGGCTGCGACCGAGGGACGTGACCCAAGTGGGCAAGCCGCCCTGAGATGGACTCGGCAGGGTATGGCCGAGGAGCTCGGCTCAGGCAGGCTGCGGCCGAGGGACATGACTTAGGTGGACAAGCCGCCCTGAGATGGACTCGGCAATGTATGGCCGAGGAGTTCGGCGCAAGCAGGCTACGACCGAGGGATATGGCAAAGGCCGGGTGACTCAACTCAGGCGGGCAGGCCGCGCTGAGGTGGACTCGGGCAGTCTGAGCCGTTCGGGTGATCACCCGACATTCCGAGCCCTCCTTCTAGCGCCAAAATGTTGGTGTAAACAACCTTGAGCCGTGGCCTCGGGGCCGACGCGGCTCGGTTTGGGTCCGGAAGACGGGGATCTCCCTGGTGGCGCTCCTCGAGCCCGCTGAGGAGGTCGGGGGCGGTGTCCGATCGAGACGGTGTATTCGTCTCTGCCTGCGGGACCGACGGGGACCTTCGGCTTCGCACCTGCACAAAGGTCGGGTCGGGGTGCTCGTCCCGACCCATTCAACGATCAAGTTAGATGAAGATGTGGAGGGGATTTCAGGATGAAGGAGTGTTTGTCTGTGTCTCGCTCTCCCTCTCTCTGATGAATGAGAGGGTATTTATAGAGAAGCTTACTGTTGTTTGATGTGCCCGCCTGCAGGAGGCAGGCTGATAGCGTCTGACATGTGCGTTGGCGTGGCGTGAAGAACCGAGCCTGAGTAGGCATTAATGCGCCTCGACCGGTGTTCCGATCGGTTGACCGAGTATAGTCACGTCGATCGAGGCGTGAGGCGTCGACTAACGTCAGCCGAGTCTTATTGTAATTACTATCCATATCAACAGTATGAAAAGATGAATGCTAATGGCTTCGATACATTAATGTAATACTAGTTTTTTACTTTTTTACTGGTCTGATAGCCTCCAAATCACAAATGGTTTTATGATTTGTTTACTATCTCCATTTTTATTTTTCTTTCTTCTATGATATATTTTTTTCTTAAAAATGGAAATTTTCTTTTTTTCTATATGTAACTATCAGAAAAAAAGTTCACCTAAACTTTGGCTGGTGGGATTTTCACGTGCGTCCGCGCGCGTCTTCCATCCACCTAATCGTTTTTTGCATGTTCGTTGGATGAAATCATGCGGCGCGTTGTGATGGGTGAGGAGTCGCCTTGCGATCTTTGGACAAGAATTGACTGACGACGGCGATCCGCCGAGGAGGAACGAGACCAGCGATAATTAATGCGGTTGCTGGTTGTCAGATTGGCTTAAATCCAACCGTTCCCTCGACCTACTGACCTTTCATCCGACGGTCCACCCTTCGCCCTCGTAACTCCGTCAGTAGTGCGGACCAACTGTCCGTCGCTCGCAAGCCTTTTTAGGTAGTGCTGCTGCCCACAGCTTCCTCGGCCTCCGTCCGTAGCACGAGCAAAGGCTTGAGGAGGAGAGAGAAGCCTGACTCCATGGACTCCGAACTCCACGTCGTCATGTTCCCTTACCTCGCCTTCGGCCACATCAGCCCCTTCCTGCAGCTCGCACGCAAGATCTCGTCCTGTGCCGCCAGCGGTGGCGTGCGCGTCACCTTCCTCTCCGCCGCCGCCAACGTCCCCCGGATCAAGTCCCTTCTCCCCGCCTCCACGTCCATCTCTGTCGTCCCGCTCTACCTGCCGGCCGTGCCCGGCTTGCCCCCGGGCGTCGAGAGCACGGCCGACCTCCCCCCGACGTCACCAGCGGCCGAGCTCCTCAAGCTCGCCGTGGACGGGACCAGGCCCCAGGTGGAGTCCCTCCTCCGTGAACTCCGCCCACACCTGGCCGTCTTCGACTTCGGCATGCAGTGGCTGCCGGAGGTCGCGG